GAGAGAGAGAGAGAGAGAGAGAGAGAGAGAGAGAGAGAGAGAACAGGCAGGTCTCCAACCTCGTGGCTGGCCTCATGGTACGCCTCATGGTACGTCCATTGATAGGATGAGCAAGATCGAATGAATATACCGCTAGAACATGGAAATATACACACTATACACTTCCACACGTGTGTGTGTGTGTGTGTGTGAGACACACACACACACACACACACACACACACACACACACACAGAGAGAGAGAGAGAGAGAGAGAGAGAGAGAGAGGCGTGGAACAGGGGGAGGAACACTGACCTTAGCCAGCGTACTCTGCTGACGTCCAAGGCGGCGGCGGGTCGCAGTAGCTGAAGAATGCACTACACGGTGGATTGCAGCAGCGGACGCGACATGGTGTTCAGCCTTTTTTTTTGCGCGGCGACTTGGAAAAGTATGGGTTTGGAATTCAAATTTTTAGCGCCTCCCCCCTGGAGGGCATCTCAGGAAGATGCATCCCCCGCAGAAGGGCAAATCGGACAGGCAGCAGGGAAATAGGACCGCTGGTCCAGTAGGGGCATTCCAAAAAGTTGTGCCCCTCACTGACAGGGGTCTGTTCGAAAGTTCAGAGGCCCAGGGGCAAATCAGGGTAAGTCGGCCGTCAGAGGGGCAAATCGCAAATTAATGCAAACTTCAGGGGCATTTCAAAAATTTTCCCTTTTTTTTTTTCCTTCTAAGAAATTGCAGCTTTATTACTTATCAGTCCAAAAAGAGGCCGGGAATCCCTCAACATTTCAACCCGGTGGAACTGGGGTCCTTCCCAGAATAGGCTGAAGGCTGGAAACCGGGTCCAGCGTCCTGTTATCTGCAACTTAAAAAGGGTAAACTGGACGACAAACATCCAAACAGCAAGAAATGAACAAGCTACTACTACCAATTAGAGAGCAATCTGGGAGCATTACCCAGTGTTCGCTTACAGGGGAAACAGGACCAACACCCCTGCGAGGAGTCTGCTACGGCTGCTCAGTCTTACTTGCCATTAGTCCCCTAATCTCTCCATTCCCTCGTGGCCCCGGTGGCCGGCTCCTTTATTCCCAACCTATAACCAATTGGCTGGGCGGCCAACAGGGGCCAAATCGTTACGCTGGGCGCCTCCACTAATTAGGCGGTCAACAGAGTTTTAGCACCCGTGAACAGCCCTGGGCCGATGACAAGTTTCCCTCCCTGTGTAACAGATGCAAGCTGGCTGTTTAAACCACCAGTACCTACCGGTGTTCAAGGCCCATCCCTGCAACTACCGGTAGGCGTAGCCTACGGCTACCACGCCGAGCCTGTGACTACCGGTAGATGAGTGACAAGGCATTTTACAAACATTTTATTGGAACGAAATGAAAAAAAAAAAAAAAAAGACAAAGAAAACTTCATACGTGAAAAAAAAAAAAAGAAACAACAACAGAAAAAGCAAGTCCGACACTACAAAAAAAAAAGAAAAAGACGAATGAATCATGCCGCCTTGTGGCGGAAGGTTCATTCCCATTTTTCAGAGTAGTCTAGCAAACGCGCGCGCGCGCGCGAGAGAGAGAGAGAGAGAGAGAGAGCCGGCGCATTGCACAGCTGGCCGCGTCGAACGCGCCGCCTCTCTCTCTCTCTCTCTCTCTCTCTCTCTCTCTCTCTCTCTCTCTCTCTCTCTCTCTCTCTCTCTGCCTTCAGGGGTTTGAGAGCAAGAAAAAGACGAATCAATCATGCCGCCTTGTGGCGGAAGATTCATTCCCATTTTTCAGAGTAGTCTAGCAAACGCGCTAGAGAGAGAGAGAGAGAGCCGGCACATTGCACGGCTGGCCGCGTCGAACGCGCCGCCTCTCTCTCTCTCTCTCTCTCTCTGCGCCTTCATGGCGGGGCAGTCACTGCCAGACGTGAATGAATCATCCCGCCTTGTGGCGGAAGATTCATTCTCATTTCTTACAATACTCGCGCACCAACCGAGAGAGCGAGAGAGAGAGAGAGAGAGAGAGAGAGAGAGAGAGAGAGAGAGAGAGAGAGAGAGAACCCTCCCCGCGCCCTTGAATTTTGTTGTTTCTTTTTTTTTTTTTTTCCTTGTTTTTTGAAAGTGGTATGTCCTTTTTTTTTTTTTTGGTTTATTTTAATTTCTAAAGGAAATGAGCTCCTACCGGTCCTTCAAATCCCCGACCCCCGGAAGTCGCGGCGCGTTAAAGGCCGCGACTTTTTTTTTTAGCTGGGCGAGGTACTGGTGGTTTAATGCCCAAGTGCCCTGAAACCAAACCGGGCCTTTCCTCTGCCAGTCCGCGATGATCTTTATTTATTTTTGATTTTTTTCTTTCGTTCTTTCTTTATTTCTATCTTTCTTTCTTTGTTGTCTGTCATGATTCCTATCGCATTCCTTTACTGGGCTATTGGCTAAGATCAATGATTGATGTAAGGGATGGTGGATCCAGTTTCCAGCAGGTGAGGCTCCCCACCAATAGGAGCATCCTAGTAGGGGACAACTTTTAGGAGGATGCTCTTATCACCCCTCCTCGAGTGGCGCCATGGAGGGAGTTAAACCACCAGTACCTCGCCCAGGTATCAAGTCCGAGGCTCGGACTACCGGTAGCACGATCATTCCCGAGCCTCGGACTTTATTGCGGAGCCTCGGACAACCAGTAGTACATCACGGAAAAAGAAAAAAAGAAAAAGAAAAAAACACAAAAAAAGATACAACATTGTGCCAAAAAAAAAAAAAAGAAGAAGGAAATCCGACATTCCCAAAGAGAATGAACCTCGAGAAAGAGGAAGATTCATTCTCGTGGGAGGTTCACAGAGAGAGAGAGAGAGAGAGAGAGAGAGAGAGAGAGAGAGAGGGCGTCAGAGAGTTTGACGCCGAGTTTGGTGCGCCATTCCCCCCCCCCAACACTTGAAATGTGCAAAATGAGAATGAACTTCCCACTAGAACATGGGCAGATGCGCCCAAAAACATCTGCGCGTTTTTTTTGTATATTACAGCGGTCGTAACCAGGGTTGTCGACCCCCGGCCCCGGAGCCCCGGCGGGGGTCCCGGGGGTCGGGG